GGCGTGGGCGGCGCGCGCCGCCTGGGCCCTGTGCGCCTTCCTCTTCGGCCTGGGCGCGCAGCAGCTGCTGGTGGACGCCGGCAAGTACAGCATCGGCCGCCTGCGCCCGCACTTCCTCGACGCCTGCCGCCCGGCGCCGCCCGTGGCCGCGCTCTGCGCCGGCCCCGACGTCGCCCAGCACCGCTACGTCACCGCCTTCACCTGCACCGGCGACGAAAGCGTCTCCCGCGAAGCCAGGTGCGTTCATTCCCTTTTTTTCTTTCCATTGTGTGTAAGTGTGTGAACTGCTATGGTCATTAGTCCCGTACGTGTAGTTCATATGATGGATGGGCGTGTTTCTCTCCAGTTGGAACGTTGATTTATTGAAGCATCGTGGATCATCAACTGCTACGGTCATTAGTCCTGTTAGTGTAGTGAAGGTTTTATCCCGAGATGTGATTGTGATTCATTCCCCGCTGGATGGTGAGATTCGGCGCGAACCTGCAATCTGTTTGTAAAGGATTTTCCTCTCCAGGTGTCTCCCCAGAGGGGCACCGCCCTAATCGAAACACGTTCTAACAATAAGCTCCTAACAAGTGTGTTAGTGAAGTTCATAGAAGTGTGTGTGTGTGTAAGTAAGGAGTGAGGATAGAAAACAATGATGAAGGAAAGATCGCGCACACACCCAAACTCAGGATGGGGTTAGAAGCCGCAAATCCTCCGGGTCGTGAGACAATAAGGGTACGCGCACCTCTAGCATTCAAGTCATCGCCATTGTTTTCAGGCGTTTATTACAACAAGTTCTTTACAAGGTTATTTAGAGCACCTTCTCTTTTAAAAACATTTTAAGAATAATCAGCTTTGTTACCATTGTAATGAGAATGACTGTTCCATAATTTACACAACAAGGGGCCTGCAGCAGCAAAATTGCTCGAAGTGTGCGTATTGGAAAATAGTAATATAGATTATTTTCGATTTTTTCTGAGTTTTGGGTATCTAATTAAAATCTTGACACTTCTCACATGGCCAGATACTAGTTTTTGTATTCAATTTCTGTGTGCATTGGAAATTAGTAGTACAGATAATACCGACGCTCAAGAACCTGCACATATTTCTTTCCCCAACGACAGGTTCGCATTTAAGCTACGTGTTTAGCACAATAATGCGATCGGGACCATTTCGTCCGTTAAGCCTTTATCAACAGACGCTGAGACGACCGAAAACACAATACTATTTTTAAATAATTTTGAGTGGATGTGGAATGACGTCGTGAATCACGAACTCAGCAAGTATCTTTAATACTATACATTTTGTTGCTAACATTTCGTCCAGTCGTGGTGGACCTCTTCAGAGCTGCTTGTTGATGAGTATTCTTGATAGAAAAGTCATATTAGACCTTACTTGCATTCTCTGTCCAGGACTTATACAGAGAGTACAGTGTCTGTCAGTCTGGTTCAGATAGTACGAGTATAGCCTGGAATAACTTTTATGTCAAAATTGTTTATCTAAAAGATGCACTGAAAAAGTCTACCATGACTGGACGAAACTTTGGCAATAAAATGAATTAGTGGTAAAGATGCGAGTCGAGTTCCTGATTCACACTCCATTCAAAAATATCATAAATTGATCAATCAGCAACTACATATTATATAATGTTTAGTCGTATTTTTAATGTAGCTGTAAATTTAATGTAACTCTATTACAGTCTTATTTCCTCACTGAATGTCATTTGGCCCTTTGTCATAAAAATCCGTTCTTTTATATTAACGGTAGGAAACTCGGTCTACTCGGTAAAGGATAACCTGACTTCCTTCGGGCACTTTGGAATAAAACAGCGAGTTATCTGTATGGGACATATGGTGTCTCCATGCCAATTGACTGCACAATCACAAGCTGTTGGTCTACATTGTCGGTCTATCTCGACAATCGTTTTTCCCATTTTCCATTGACCTTTCTATAGTTCAAGGTCAATTGCTAACGATGGGCATGTTTAATTTACGGATTTGGTTTTTTCTTCTTAGGACATACGTGGCAACAACCACATTATGGCCCATTTACATAAATTATCGTCAGTACCTCGTGCCATTGTAGAACGGTTAGACAAGCCATCAGTCGTGTAACTAAAAGTCTAAGGCAGGAGTACGTATCAGCGTTGCGAAGGCTTCCTCATGGGCATGGTCGAAAGAGAGGAACTCAAGAGCGGATATGCAGTTGGCAGAGCGTAACATGGCATTCCTATGTTCCTTATCCGTTCAACAGGGCTATGCGCTATGTCTCCCTGAGAGCCGTAATAGCCTACACCGAGAAATGCTTTACAAGAAGTGTGCGACGGGAAATGTGTAAAATCGAAACAAGGGAGACATATCGACCCTCACACCCTTGAAAGAGTTTCTCACTTGGGTCGATTGGCGAGCCAGTTTCCTCGGACACATTTCTAGTTTCATTTGTTAATAGACATTTACACGCCCGATGCCGTAAGTCAACAATAAATAGCGCGAGAACAAATCAGTTTCTTAATTTACTATTATTATTATATTATTTACTATATAATCATTGTTTACGTTAATAGGTTTTGAAATAAAAGAAACAGCTCAAGAAAATTAAAAAAAAAGATGTCTGTTTTTAAAAGGGTTAACAATTATAAACATTAATAGCTCTTCTTGTCAATTTTAATACATATGGCGCTAATTAGTTATATTTATCATTTTCGGATCAAATCCACTGGGGAACAAAAACAATATTATCAATATTCTTAATTCACATTACGCAATTCAAGTTAACTCATTTGAGCGGCGCTAAGCGTAAATGCGAAACACTCACGCTTCTGAACATTTCGTACAGTTCATCAGCTCGTGTCATCTCAGAGCCCCCCACCCCTCCCACTCTTCTCTTTCAAGCAAGTCAGTGAAGCCTCTTGTAACTGTGTGGGTGCAGCTTAGTGCACAGGATTGTTGTATAACAGTATTAAATCAAATGAAACTACTGAAAAAAAGCAAGGATGAGTTTCAGATTTTTAGCACTAGCTCACCTTTTAGATTAATAGCACTACGCTTTTCCGTTGGTACAGTGCGGTCCTTCCTTACAGTAGCTATTCATTTCAGTATTTACTATATGCTTCTGACCGTCGAGTTACAGACGTAATTGCAAATTGTTATGCTTCTGGAGAGCGAAGGAGCGGAGAAAACCAACGTCGCCTAATGGAAGTGGTCGGTAAGCGTGACCTTGCAAGAATCTCTGAGAAGACTGCAATTAGCGGTTTCGTGACTTGAATTTCGTAGGCTAATTGGAAAGTCTGAAACGTCGCAAAGAACTATCATTTTGCGGCGCCGGGGAGTTGAAACACAGAAATGCTTTACTCACATTGGCCTGATAGTTTTTAGACTTATTGCTGTGAGTTCAGATTAGCCCAGGAAAATTGCAGAATCCACGTTGTAGAAACAGCATATTTTCATCCAGGCTTATTTAAAAAAACTTACTCCCATGCAGACAGATTAGCAATAATGGCGAGGTCGAGACTTCAGAAACCTTTTGAAACTTTTACGAAGACAAACGATGAAGAGTTCCTCTCCTCGTGAAATTTTCCCAGTTGCTCAGTACCCTTTAATAGTTTCACAGTGAATGTGGCCTAATGATATTGCTTTTTTGATAAATATTATCTTGTGCCGATCAATTTAAAAAAATTGAGAACGAGATGCAACGCAATGGTAACGACGAGAGTAAATACCAAACGGAAGTTCGTAATATACAGGTAACACTTTCGTGAAAAAAATGAAAAATACACATAATTCAAGGTGGTGTTGAGAATGAATCCGCGTTTGGAAGCAAAAATACGAAAGCTGCAAACGGTGCGACAAAATGACTGTACCAAACGTCAATTACACGTGCAAAGAAAATGTGTTCGTCAAAAGGTCAAAGGAGCTCACCATGTACACATGCAAGCGACTTCTGTTGACAACATTTTAATAATGTCTATAATGAAATGTCTCAGGATTAGTCACGACGTATGATCAACAGCAAAGTTCGAATATTGACACCACTAAAATGTTAGAACGCCATAATGTTTTGAAAAGGGAGAAAATGGATTTGTAACAAGTAACTTCAGTCGATTTGATGAAAGTTTTATATATCAAGTATTTCACTCGAATTGTAGTGGTAAGTGTATTCTGCATTTCATAGTGCCTTTATTATGGATATTCATTTTGGGTAAATATTACAACACTGGAAGGCAAGTTTTTCGTTTTTCCACACGATAAGTTTGGAAAGTCACACTGACATGTTAGCACTAAAACTGATACTTCCGAGATACTCTTATTCTATAGTTTTCTTTTGGATTACCTTGTCGATTCTTATTTCCTTTCTTTTGATTAAACTAATTTTTTCACTCAAAGAACACTAATGATCGAATAGTTTTCTTCCCTTTTCGTTTTATCAAGGTCTCAAGTTACGGTACAGTAGAGTTTGCGCAATTGTTTGCGTCACCCAACTTCACTACTGGATCATTTCTCAATGTCGCACATGTTGTAAATTACTGTCATGTTAGCCAAGTAAATTGTACACCAGAAGTGCAGAACTACAAGTCAATAAAGTTCTCTATCATTCCTTCACAATTTCTTAATAGTAGCTATTTATGTGGAATATTAGTACTAAAACATTGTAAAAGTATTTGGAATCACGTTGTGGTGTGTAGTTATGTTAGACTCATTATTTTCAGTTACTGTTATTATATTTTCCTAATAATGTTTATATAGTATCCTCATAAAAATATTTTTATAATGTAGTTGCATTTGTAAAATTAAAAAAAACAACAAAACAATGAGGGTTCGTATGCCTCCGCGCTCAGAGTCAATGCATTCTTGGCTCATCCCGGATAGCCAGAATGCAAACATTTAATGAATTCTTATCTGCCCAAAATGTACCCATAATTCTAACTTGAATGTATCATGTTGCAGGTTGTCGTTTCCTTCTGGGCACTCGTCGATGTCTTTCTACGCGGCAGTCTTCACAGCGGTAAGTCTCACACCCTTCACTGGAACGAAAGCAATTTCCTTCCAGCGTAATACGTACGCAATGTACCCCACCGCATTCAATAATTGCCGTTGCGACATTTACTTCTTGCCGGATATAACCTACATACTTCACAATCGTGTTGAAAATGTACATTGCTTTATCAGAATGTCCAAGCATTAAAAATGATACGAGGAAGTAACACATCGGAAGTAACCTTCCGTTTACTGCTGAATCGATAAAATAGAAAGTTAATACTAAAATATTGGTAGTGAAGTTGAACTGAAGAATAAAAAAATCAATACATACCGTTTCATAATTGTGATACTGTACTGTAAGTTACGTTATTTCTGTTTTCGCATATACTGTTATTTGTAACTACTGTCTCATATGGGCAACAAAGAATTTTGGCATGAAGTAACTTGGAAATTGTGAGTTGTTAAGGCTAGATGTTGTAGAAATGAACTAACTTGGACACGGGAACCAAAGGGCCAATTGACACAAACTATTATCGTAAATTATAGTATACACTTAGTACCCAACTCTCTTCCCCTCGTGGTCTCTTGTGTCACGACCTTGCGTAAATGCGTCGATTCCTTTCCTTGGGAGCGAAACGGGAAAAGAGCCAAATAAAATAATTAACGGATTAGAGTCAGGGAAAATAGTGAGTGAACACTTAGGTACTCTCTCTGTTTGTGGTATGTGTAAACTATGCCGTGGGAGTTGACAATGAGATACAAGATTCTTAATAAAAATTACTTCATTAAAAAAAATATTTCGGCCCTAAAAAATCAAGAAACACTGCGTTGAAAGAGAGCGTGAAAGGCTTTTGGATACAAACTGTTTATTAAAAAATAACGTACCAATATTTTGAAGGACTGCCAAACGTACCCAAAAATTTCTTTTGGGCAATGCGTCTACGATTGGTGTTGCTTACACATTGCACATAAAGCTTCTAGGCGAAAGTTTTCCTGCTATCAAGAAGATCTGAAGTCTAGACCGGGGAACGTGTCCATCTTTACTGCACGATTCCGCTACCACTTATCTTGCACACTTTTTGTTTATTGCTTTCCTTTCACTGAAACTATCTATAAATGTCATGGGCCGTTGATTTCGAAAATCCAGACAACTTCAATAGCTTTCGTATTGATGCGCACTCGTGTCAACGATTGCCAATTTGCATTCTTTAACGGAAAAATTCCCTTCTCGGAGTTATTTCTCCTTAGCCATTCTACTTGTGCAGAGCTAAGTCGGTACTGACAGCGAAACTGACAACTGACAGCGAAAGAAGGGCTGCAATGGTGAAAGATTATTGAAAAATGACTGAAGCCGCTTACTTTCTCCATTTTCTCTTACGCATTGCGTATTATTAAACGTTGCGTCTGGTGTCCAAAGAAGTTTTGCGCCGTGTTTGTTTTCATTACTACCAAGTTTATCTTTGGTAAATTATTTTCATGAAAATAAAGCCATTTTTATTGTCAATTGTTGTTTCTTAGCACTGCACAGTTATCTCAGATCCAACACAGAATACATAAATGTACACTCCTTTTTTTAAACCGTACATTAACCAATATTGGCTCTTTCGGTTCTAACGGCCAAAGCAGGTCTTTTTTGATCAACTAGAACAAATTATTTTGAGGACATGTAGAATAGTAATGTTATTTGTAAGTATATAAAAAAATAACTTCGATGCTTGAATGAACACCAGATGAACAATGCTAGAATACGGTCAAACCTGCTTGCTATTCTTGCAGCAAGTAATCGATATCCAACATTTATGGCAACGTAAACTGAAAAGTTGACAAGGTAGTGCATATCATTGTCTTGGAGCAAGGTTCAGATAGAATATAATTAAGGTCACCATAAAAATGTAAGGTTGCTGATGGAGTACCATGTCAAGCACCTAACAGTTGTAATTATCTCATCGCAAAAACCCGCGGAGTACAGCGATTTTAAACGAAGTCCCCTGTTTTGAAGATGCTTGGAGGATTAGAAGTAGTTTGTTCTCTCAACCTTTAAAGCGCAGATTTATCCTGGCTGAGAAAGTGAGCGAATGTCGGAAAATCTACAGTGTAAATGTATTTGCAGTATGTAAAAGATGGCGGTAAAATTAAATACTTTTTACTAATCAGATATATTTGCGTAGTCAGGGAAATCGAGTACATATAGCAAAATCTTACTGAGAGCATTGTTGTAGCGCTCCCTGGTGGTTAATTTGCGAGTCAATAATCCCAAGCATAGTGCCCAAGCATTTCAAACAAACCAATTTTCTTGAAAATTAATGGCCTTGCCCTGGTACTGAACTACTAAGTTGTGTGCCTCCAGCACACGCTCTTTACGTTTTAGCTCAGTGATTATTCTGAGATTTAAAAAGATTGACTATTGACATACGATCAACCGAATTGTGGTTATCCAATCGGGAGCTTCAACACCAAAAATTAAATCGTAACCCAGTTGGAAAACCTCGACTACCGAATCGTACGTCAAAAGTCACTAATTATACTAGGATTTATTTAATCGTGCACTTGACGCAAATCAGTTGTTCAAGGTTTCATCCAATGGGGAGCTTGAACGTCTCCACAGTGACGTCACTGTAGCGACATTTAAGCTCCCGACTGGATGAAACCTCAACAGCTGATTTACGTCAAGTGCAAGATTAAATAAATATTACTCGTAGCATAACGAGAGGGTGTGTGCTGGCGGGACTCACCGTCGCTGCCGCTGCTGCTGGCGCTGGCGCTGATGGCGGCCATTGGCGGCGCTCCCTGTTGCGCAGCTGTTCCTGGAGCGGCGCTTCCGTTGGCGTCGGCGCGCGCGGCTGCAGGTGGCCTTCGCGCAGCTGCTGGCGGTGTTGCTGGCATGGCTGACGGCGCTGTCGCGGGTCTCCGACCACAAGCACCACTGGAGCGACGTGCTGGCCGGCGGCGCGCTGGGGGCGCTGGTGGCGGCGATCACGGTACTAAGGGTGGTGCTGCGCGGAGGCGCGGGCGGCGGCGGCGGAGGCGGTGGTGGCGGCGGCGGCGGCGCGGCGCCGCGACGCCCCAGCGACGACGTCGGCATCGCCGTGGACGACGCGCACGGCGCGCCGCCGCTGCGCAGCTCGGCCTCCTGCGACACATACGAGACGCTCTTCGTCATTTGAGCGCTCGCCCACGCCCACGCCCTCGCCCTCGCCCTCGCCCGCGCTTTTGTAACGCTCCCCGCGGACCCAGCGGCACTCAGACCATAATGAGATGCTCGTCGCCATCAAAGACACACGATCATTTCCACTTCAGTTTTACTGTCTGCAGTGGTATTTTATTTTTAGTACGTAGATCAGGTGGAGCGACGCTCATACCAAAATGAGACGTTTGTTGACACCAAAGACCAACAACTGAATCATTCCGACTTTCATTTTACCGTATGTATTTTGTTTTTATATATGTACGTTTTCACAACGTACATCAGATAAAGCGGAGCTCGATTCAAAATTAAACGTTCGTAGACAACAAAGTCAAAACATAATTATTCCGACATTCATTTCTGTAGAAAAATACTATTTTTAGACAGCCACTAGCATGCGGTTCTTTTCAAGACATTTGCAACGTGCTATGTCTTAAACTTTTAGCATAGTGCTAAACGTGAGACGGATGTTCAATTTTTCAGATACATTTGTGAATGCAACAAACAAATCAAATGCAAATTAATTTGACCGCATCAGTTACTACTGAACTTAATATACAAGTATGTGATGTGGCTATTCGATTTAAAATAAAATGAAAGGAAGGCTGTCTAAAAAATACTGCATAACATGTGATAATTGATTTTATTTTGCCACTCGAATCATAAAAACCTATTTTAAGAACACTAAAGTGCACTATATCTGATGAATACATTCCACTGTTTGTAATTTTTTTAAAGTATGATTTACTTTTTATCAGAAAGTAAATTCATCGTTGTCATCATTTCCCCGCGGCGCTGTTTTTTCTGCAACCAGAATGACACTTTTTTACCACCAAAGACAAAATATAAACATTCCGATATTAATTTGCATTCTGTTGTAACAGTCGACTGTATTTAAGAACACAACATAAGATGCAGTAATGCTGGGGGCTTCTGGAATCAAAATGGGACGATTCTCGCCGTCAAAATTATGCGGAGTAAATATCATTTACACGCGCTTCATTGTTTTTTTAAATGTTTATTTTTGACCAGAATTAGATTGTTAAAACCTCTTTGATCCAATTTGTATTAATATATTGAGATGCGTTTGTTTTCGGAGTTGGGTGAAGCAAACACGGACTGTTGTTTTGCTAAGAGAACCGAATGTTCTTCGCCATCAAAGAAAAATAAAATCATTACGACATTCATTTCGCCTTCTGTAGTAGAGTATATTTTTTTAAACTTGACAATGTGCATCAGATTAATATATGTCCCTCTTTATTTTATGTTTTGTTTTTAGATCAAATTTATCATAATTCGAAAGTAATCTCGTATTTGTGCAAAGTTGTCTTCGTTTCAGTAAAAACATGACAATCGAATAAAGATGGTACTAACGTTCTAGCGATGTGTGCTCCAATATCTCGTGGGTTCCAAAACGCATGTGTTGGATACGTCTCACGTCGTGTTCCACTCTTATTCATGAAAACTATATCGTGCTATGACAATAATGAAATATTCTTCGGATGTACATTTTATAAGGAATCATTGAAGTTACTCGCTTGAAAAATGATATTATTTGTACTTAGTTTTTGTGAATAAATGCAAGATTTACAGAACTTAGTTTTTATTTTAGATCAATAAATATAAGTACCTAAAGCTGAAAGATTAAAAAAGAATTAGTAGAGGATGTAAGTTAATCGAACAGAATCACGTACTACTAATTGGCGGTGAGTCAACTTGATGGAAAACAAAATACCATCGTCAATTTTGTGTTTGTTGCTAAAATAATATGGCGAAAAAATATTTTTCCAGAATGTCTTGTGGTATTAGATTATTCTCTCGATATTGTACTTTTCTTGTGTTAGTAGTATTTCTTTACAATATGTATATATATGAAGTAGGTAATTTATGTTAATGGGGAAAGGAAGTGGTACTTTGTATATTGTAGCACGAAGACTACGTTTTTTAAAAATTAATACCTACTTGACGCTATACACGTTGACTTTTACATATACAAGATTATTCCAAATACAAATAATATAGGAGACATATTTCGCCACATAATCTTAACCTTTAGTGTTTTCAGTCTAATGAGGATAGTACCTAGTGGACGCTATTTCCTAAACGTTTGTTTTAGATAACATCTAAAAGTACTACGGCAAAATTGAAGAAAATCAATTAGTATTTACTATCTGCACAATTTTCGTGGGCGGGCTCCGGAATTTGTTTCGTCTCCTCCTCTTTCCATACACAATTTAATGATTTAAAATTATATTTGTCTTGGCAAACCAGCTAAATACTTGGGTTGTAAGTATTGTCGACAAAAATCTCCTTCACAAAAATGTGTCTCGTATTTAGAAAATTATGAGATCAGGAAAACATGCGCGGATAGTGATTTTTCTACGTATATAAATAAATGCATATCGTATAAAAAAGGGCACTAGGAATACTGCAGCCACAACAAACTCGCCGTTTTGCACCTTTCAGTAATACGAACATTACAATATGTTTGGAAAATACAATTCCAAAACATTTTTTTTTTGCTACTCATTTCGTATTTTAAAGATTTTTGAACGGTAATTCACTGTTGACTAAAATATGACAAACCAAGAAAATAATGGTTATGTTCACAAATTTATCCACGCCTATTTTTTGGCTTCAAATCATCAGAAAGATGATTATGGAAAGAGGTTATATGGTTAGAGGTCATACAATTTTTACATGTTATGGTGTTTGGCGTAATAAATTGTTATCATTCTGGATGCAAAAAGTTAACAAAATTTCAATCATTCAAAATCGCCTTGTTATTCTGCATATATTGCACGCTCGCTGATGAACGACATGAACTCCAGAAAAATCATAGAAATGCCGGAAGATAATCAACCTATTCCTCTCCACATGCGCGTAGGATGATCTAACGTTTCCAGTTACTATTAGTACTGTATGCACACATTTACGTTTGTAAATTTCCATCATACAAATCCATTACAAAAAATCGTGCGATCTTGACCTACGGAATACATTCAAATACTCATAGTTTTAAGTATAGTGTGATGAGTAGTTTTACCGAAGTACAAGTTATGTTGCGTGCATTTTTATGCGACTAGATCGTGGCACTTGTCAAATGTGTATTTACAATAATCCATTAGTTTGCGCACTTCTAGAAAAACTCCAACTTGGCATTTTTCTGCTCTGTGAGTAACAAGAGATGACTCTTAACTTCACTTCATTCGCCGGTCAAGTCTCGACATGACAAGTGCTAATTTAGTCTTGCACCGAATGCACGGCGCTGTTATTTTATATTGTTTTTAATTAAATATGTTTTAAATCAATGTACATAATTTATTAATGCACAAACTGTATTTTGTTGTAGGATGCCCTGTGACGAAAGTCCAGGCACCGAGATATGTCAATAAACAAATTATCGGTCAATATTAACTGTTATTATTTAGTTTTCCCACATATCAGGGAAAGTATTTGAATGATGTTGGACTGTGTGAAATTAATGTGAATTTTAAAAAAATGTATATATTCATGGTCATTTAAATTTTCTTTAAAATAAATCGCAATACTGAGATTTCTAAAACATTTATGATTTTTTGCATTTGTATATGAGAAGAACGTTCAAACAAACGAATTGATTTATGTGACATGCTAAATTCCATACTATTTGCAAGAGAGTAATTTTATGTTAATACAGTAGTATATTCTTCATTCATCAAAAGTGACTATTCTGTTAATAAATCAAATATAATAATCTTATATTACGATAAATGACAAAAAGCAACCTAGAGAAATTTATCAGAGTGTTTTCGAAGCATACTTGCTTAAAAGCAAAAATTTCCTGCAGCCAACACTCTCAAAATACTTTTTTTTTATCATTCACTGTGAAGGCGTAAGTTTTTTTTAATGTAAATCTATTTTCATCGACTTGGTGTCGGAACTCTTTCTTTTCTTTCTTGCTCGCCTCATTTTTACGAAAAATATTTTCAAAATAATTCTCTCCTATTGAGAGATATTGATTATTTTCTTCAAAATGACTGTGGCATTATTGCGAAGAAAATTGCTCAAATAGTTTGCCCATACAAAAATAGAGTTTATGAATTATTTTAATACGTAGCAAAGTAGATATTTTACATTGTTTTTTCAAATATTTTTAGATTGAAAAAAATATTGCAGACTCACGTTGGAATTCACGATTCAGAAGCAAAATTAAAATCTGTGATTAAGATTTTAACAGAGAAATAGTGCTTTTATATGTTAGCAACATACTTTCACTTAATTTCATATTTGAGTTATTTATAAGATAATCTAAAATTTTCTGTATGTTTTATATGTTTGAACTTTTTTCTTTTTGTCTTATATATCTATTTTACTAATATCTTTCCAGAATGCTGTTTGTGAAATAACTTATGTTTTTAACATACATCAGTGTAAAAGCTTTTGCAAACTAACTCTGCCTTAACTGTCGGCTCTGGGAACCAGGCGGTGCATTAATAAAATGTAATGAAAGACTCGTTTTGTTTTAGAGTGCGCTGGCAGAAACGTCACAGAATCATATCTGATTGGCCATTTTGTTAAAGTCGTTGATATATACGTGGATTTATATGTGAAGTAATGAAAATAATATTTTCACAATATTCACGTTCCGTTGTAATTCATTTCATTTTAAATAAATTAACTTGATAAAGATGACAGACAAATTTGCAAAACAGAAAATAAGTTAGGGCAAATGTAAACTTTTGTGATATCCCTCTTTCTTATTATCATTCGCCTTTATATAAAAGTACTTTCTTTATATGTTTAGGATTTTTATTTTGACATTCTCTTCTCAATTTAAAAATCCCATGGATGACAAAATCGTAAAATTCACGGATGTATGGTCTTAAGATATTAATTTGACACATACAATGACCCAGATGTAGAAGCGCCCTTCAACTCAGGTCGCTTTAGAAATAAGTTTTCAACTATCTCCATGAAAAAAAAATTGTGAAGTGAAAGTACTCAAATTTAGTCCCACAGTCTTCAAGCTTACATACAACAATTTCCGGATGCTGTTTAACATAAGAGGAATCCAATATTTGACAGCCTGATGGAGAATCGCCTTAAGAATACATTAATGCGTAAAATCAGCAAATAAACAGAAATTGTGATACATTACTTTCGAAATAAGCTCATCAATTCACCAATTTAACAAAATAATCTATTCAAATATTGTTCTGTATTAAATATGGCTAATGAAAGGTGTTGTGGGGTATCAAAAAATTGTTGATACCAGAGATTTTTGATACCAGACCACACCTTTTAATTAACCATATTTAATTATTAGAATGTGTCTACCTCACCAGCGATCCACTTAATAGTTCTGTATATTTGTCTGCCCTTCGATTTCTGGCACGTATATCAAGGGTGGCGCGAGAGTTATCAGTTTTCCGGCAAGTGCGTGTGAACGCGTTCGGTATCTGCCCCGGCGCCCCAGTTCCCAGCGCCGCCGTGGTTGAGGCGGGGGGCGGGGGTTGCGCGGGCCGCTTCCTGTACGCGCGCGCGGGCGCGGCGGCGAGTGTGCTTGCAGGTGTGCCACTTTCCTGCGCCTGCGCGAGACGCCCACCGGCCGAGGCGCGCGGGCGCGGCCACGTAACGTCTTCGGCGACGACCGCCTCGACGCAGTTCGTGGCCAGGCGCGCCCACGCCAACCGGCGGCGCCCGCAGCCACCGCGCCTCCGCCGCCAGCGCCGGAGCCAGGAGCCGGAGCCGCGCCGGCGCCGCTGCCTGAGCTCCGGGTTGCTCGTCTCCTGCAGGAAACTGGGGCGACGCCTTACAGTGACTCACTTTACCCTGTGTACTGTTAGTGCGATCCGCCACCGCAGGCCGCTGTCAAATGTTGCTGAGGTGCTTTGCAGCTCGCGGGACAAGACTAAGCGCACCCGTAGGAAACGTCCGCCTGGAGATCGCGCTTTATTTCAGCCAAAGTGATTGATTGTACGATACTTCTACGTGTTATTGTTGTAAAATATCTCCACAAAACGTGCTAAATCTTTGGTGTTCCGTGTGTTTCGGGAACCCTACATCGTAAAAACTGGTGCGGTCGCTTATAGTGGCACGCTTTATCCACAGGGCAGTGGTACGATCCACAACCGCTGGCCGCTGTCAATGTTGCTGAAGGTTCTTGATCTCGTAGGGACTAGACTAAGCGCCACCCGCGTAGAAAACGTCCGCCTGGATAATTCGCGCTTTATGCAGCCAAGATTATTGATTGTACGAAGTATATCTACGGGTTTCTGTTTTGTAAAAATATCTCCCACCAAAACGTGCTAAGTTTTGCGTGTTCCGTGTGCTTCGACCCCTACATCGGTATAAAACTGTGCGCGTCGCTTATAGTGGCAACGCTTTATCCACAGGGCAGTGGTTACGATCACACCGCTGGCCGCTTGTCAATAGTTGCTGAGCAGAGTTCTTGATCTCGCGGGGTCAAAGACTAAGCGCCACACGTAGAACGTCCCGCCTGGAGATCGCGCTTTATGCAGCCAAAGTTATTGATTGTACGAGTACTTCTACGTAGTTATTGTTGTAAAAAAAAAATATTTCCACGAACGATGCTAAATAACTTATAGTGTTCCGTTGTGCTTCGGGGCCCTACATCGGTATATAAACTGTGGCGACGCTCCACAGTGCACTCGCTTTACCCACAGGGTGGCAGTGGTACATCCCACACCGCAGCCGCTGTTCAATGTTGCTGAGGAAGGTTCTTGATCTCGTGGGACAAGATTAAGCGCACCCGGTAGAAACGCCTGGATGATCGCGCTTTATGCAGCAAAAGTTATTGATTGTACGAGTTTTTCGACGTGTTATTGTTGTTAAAATAATATTTCCCACAAACGTGCTAAATCGTTGGTGTTCCGTGTCCTTCGGGGCTCTACATTGGTATAAACTGGGGGCGACGCTTACAGTGACTCGCTTTACCCTGTGGGCAGTGGTACGATCCACACCGCAGGCCGCTGTCAATGTTGCTGA